GACTCTTCAAGGGGATTTTGCAGGATGCACAACTGGACTTCTGTAATTGTACTTCTTAATGCCAGTAAATACAGAATGCCAGTGGTGAATGGAAATGATGCTTCATCCACTTCGTTTCTGGGAGAGTCTAATATCACACTTCCCACTGATGAAAATGACATTAGAATCATTCTTTGTGATACTCTCGGTGTCACTCATACTTGGGTTCTGGGGCCAATAGATCATGCTACCTCTTGTGATTTCTTCCTAAATTAATTAATAGCACAACTGCGGGAATATTCAGGGTTGAATTCAGTGTTTACTTAAAAAAGAACATAACTCTCTTGCAATGGGTTTAAACAGGGAATACTAAAAATATATTGTGAATATCGCAGCCCCACTGACTGTGATATTCAAAATGTCACTTGACCAGGGTGTGTTACCTATGGGCTGGAAGGACGCAATCGTCACTCCCATACATAAAACTGGTCTACGACAAGTTCCATCAAATTACAGACCCGTAAGCCTCACCAGTGTTGTAATTAAAATACTGGAAAGAATAATCAAACGGACCATAACGGCATTTATGGAAACCAATAACTTGCTGAACATGGCACAACATGGTTTTAGAAAGGGTCTATCCTGTACAACGAACCTCCTTTTAGCTAGGGAGTTCTGGATTAATGCGCTAGACAACGGAAACACAGTGGGTGTTGTCTACATAGACTTCAGTAAGGCTTTTGACAAGGTGCCAACTAATAGACTGCTATTGAAGTTGGCAAACCTTGGTATTGCCGGACCTCTTTTAAAATGGATTAAGGATTTCCTAGTAGGTCGTACGCAAAAAGTAAGAATAAATTCCAAGTGCTCCATCTGGTGACCAGTACTTAGTGGAGTACCCCAAGGTTCCGTCCTAGGTCCTTTACTTTTTATAATGTACGTTAATGATCTTACAAGTATAGTACAGTCTCCAATGTTATTATGCGCTGACGATGTAAAAATTTGGCGAGTAATAACTGGAGACAAAGACGCATTTACTCTTCAGGCGGACTTAAATAATATGATAAACTGGTCTAAAGAGTGGCTAATGCCTATCAACTCGGAAAAGTGTGTCTACATGTACTTGGGTGATTCAAAGGTTAATACGTACAACATAGGGGATGTGTCATTACCCGTAGTCCGGTCTCATAAGGACCTAGGGGTGACAGTGAGAAATGATCTTAAGACGACGGCCCATTGCCGAGAGGTCGCAGTTAAGCGGTTTCGAACCCTCTGGGCTTTAAAAAGGACATTCACTAAGTTAGACACTACCATGTTCACCACATTATACACATCCTTAGTGAGAACTAAGAGAACTGTGTTCAGGCTGCAAGCCCCTGTTTAAAAGGTGGCTCAGACATACTAGAAAAGGTACAGAGGGCAGCTACCCGTGCAATTCCGGAACTCCGGGGTTTATCATACAAAGAGCGGCTTGAAAAACTGAACCTCTTTTCTCTGTCCTATCGCAGACTAAGGGGAGATCTAATATTGATGTACAGAATACTGAGAAATGATTTCGGACCTAACTTATTCTCTCTCTTCCTTCCCACTAAACCGGGACACCTCAGAGGACATAGCAGGCGAGTAGAAAAGCCAAAAACGAACAAAATACCCGTGGCATACAGGTTTTCACACCGAGTCATCAATACTTGGAACCTGCTGCCTGAAGCAGTGGTGTCCGCACCTTCAATTGACTCTTTCAAGAGAAAACTGTACACTCACAGAAGCATACTAGAAAAGGAATAACATAGGCCGTAGGCCTTCTGTTCTTACTACACAAATCTGAATCTGAATAAAAGCACACCTAAATTGACTCACCTGGAAGCGCTTCATTTACAGCCGATTCATTACTTTATGATGTATCATGCAGTTAGTAACCTCCTGAACACTAGTGGATCAGCAGTTGATTTTATTAACAGAATACACATAACAGGGTACCTAACCAATACAGAACACAAACGAGCTTGCATAAAAATTAGTGCAAAATTATCCGAGGCTATAACCAATTCTCCTTAGGATTTTGAAATGCAGTTCATTTGGCCCAGTTGACCCTTCCGTGTTTAAGGTGCTAATAGCCCTAATTACATCGTCTCCATCAAAATGCACAATGATCAGACAGTTTATTTACTTTGTATTTGGATCTAGTTCTTCGTCTAGAAGAGGTTCCTGAATGAAAACTGATACGAAATAGTTTTTGCATAGCCTCTGCTTTTTCCTGATAATCCTCCATCATTTCAAATCCATTTCCTCCTTTAATTAGGTTGAGAATACAATGTTGCATCCTTGTTCGGTAATTTATATACGAGAATTGTCTCTTAGGCTGCGTAATTGCAGATTGTGCTAAATGCGTTTCATAATTTCGCTGAGCTTTGCGGATTTTAATTATACACTTGTTTCTTACCGACCTGTAGCGTTCCATCGTACTTGCTGTGCCAAGGCTGATGGCAGCATTCCAACATTTCTTCTTTTGTCATAGTGAATGTCGACCATTCCAGCCTATCCCAGGATGGCCGTGCTTATTCTTCTTTGGGACTGTCCAGGGAATATATGGTTGAGTTACCCAATTGTATAACTGTCTGAAGTGAGTTCATGCCTCTCATGGTGATGCTCTTGAGTCAATTTCTAGGTTTTCAGCCGATGCAGCAGAGTTGATTGCCTTCATATCTGCCTTCCAGATATAAGGACGTGCCGGCGCAACTGTCTGACAGGCCACCTCAGCTATGAATCTGAATACTATAACTACATGGTTACTTCTCCCTAGTGGTGAGAGGAAAGTTGTTATGACTTTAAGTTGGGTCGATTTTTACCCTGTGTTAATTGTTGTGTCCTTGACTGAAGAGATTAGAGAGCAGCGTATTTATCGATCGATTCAATGACACGGAAAACACGTACGTACGGCCTAGAGTCTCGATTGGTCTCGCTTCCCTGTCTAGCACAGTCAGTTGAGTCCAGAACACAAGTCACAACCTCTGAGATATGAATCATTGTATTTCAGACATACTCTATTTATATACTAACCAAACATACCACATCGTACCATAAAAATAGAAAACAACATTTGTACAATATTTAATGGATGAAGTAAATAATGGCCAATAGGAAATGTCCATTTAACGTCCAAGGACATCATTAGACTTAACATGATAATGATTGGCACATTATTCTGCATCCATAACAAAAGTCATTTGACCAACGTCATCACTGTGTGTGAAGACTAAATCCTCTTGAAAGATTCCTGGGAATTTGTTTGAACTATCTCAGCAATATGTTTGCCTCGATGATAAAAGATAAAGGGTCGAAGTCAGTCCTAACCTAGTGAGCTGTAATGCCCGTCCAATTTTTTACTCAATCACTTGCCATGTGTGAAGACTAAATCCGAAAGAGAAGAGGAGTTTCGTAAATCATATCTTGTGGGATCTCTAATGTGCTGGAATAAAGCTAATCCAATTGAGGTTTCTAACAGTTTGCAATCAAATGAAGTTTTGGATGATCCTAATTCTGAGTTTACCCAGTTTATATTCGGTGCATTGAAATCGCCTACTATAAGGCTTTTACCCTTGTTACACCAGGACTTAAGATGACTTAGGAGGAAGTCATCTATTACACATTCTGCACTGAGATATACTACGATTAATTCAATATCTTGCCGTCTACATTTCAGTCTGCAGCATATCAAATCATATCGTCCTGAATCATGTACCACTCTCGTATGGTAAGAGTACTTTTCATGTACAAGATAACCCCGCTTCCCTTGCGATTTGATCTATCGGCCCTACTGGATAAAAAACCAGTCAACTGAATTTCATTATCGGACACTTCTGACGTCAACCATGTTTCTGGGACATCCAGTTTTTCTATATCCATCACTGTCTTGAGCTCCGCCATTTTATTTGGTAGGCTGCGAGCGATTGTGTACTTATTTACTTACGCCCGTGACTCCCTATGGAGCAAAGGCCGCCGACCAGCATTATCCAACCCACTCTGTCCTGGACCTTCCTTCCCAGTTCCATCCAATTCTTGTTCATTTTTCTCATGTCTATTTCCATTTCCCGGCGTAATGTGTTCTTTGGTCTTCCTCTTTTCCTTTGACCTTCAGGATTCCATGTGAGGGCTTGTCTTGTGACGCAGTTCGCTGCTTTCCTCAACGTGTGCCCTATCCACTTCCAGCGCTTCTTCCTGATTTCTTCCTCCATTGGAATCTGGTTTGTTCTCTCCCACAGCAGGTTGTTGTTGATAGTGTCTGACCAACGGATCCGAAGTATTTTACGTGGACAGCTGTTAATAAACACTTGTATTTTCTGGATGATGGCTTTCGTAGTTCTGCAGGCTCCCGCCTCATACAGTAGAACTGTCTTGACATTTGTATTGAAAATTCCGACCTTGGTGTTGGGAGCATTTGTGTAGCACACGTGTAATTCTGTTACCACTCAGAGTAGTTTGAGGATCGTTTTGCTGAAAACGTTTACAATTTCAAAACCCTTGAGTACGAGGTTTCTTTCACCATTTCGGAGGCGCTCATTTATTTTTACCTTTGCAGCTCATCTCTCAATACTGTCAACCAGGCTGAGATACTCACGGACGTTGATTACGGATCCGCTCCCCTGATTGGGTCCACTTTCATGGTCTCATTCAAATCTAGAGCTGGGCTCATGATAACGCTCTCTATTTCCTCGAAAGCGGAATTCAGCTGCCTGTTTATGTGAGGGCAATCTTCTAGCCATGTTTAGCAGTTCAATCTCCTCAAGTATGAACAGAGACTTTGTAGAACAACATACTTTGCACAGCCAATGTGATAGTGGCTTGCAGCTCCTTTTATATGTAGCCGGTGTAAGTCCGGTGCACACATTGTGATATCACTTATTGCAGTTGTCACAAAGCATCCCATCATCGGCGGGGAAATAGCATGCAGGTCTGCCACAACTATGTTTTATTTGCAGCATAAAATTGTTTTGTGATATCACAGGAAGAACAAAAGCGAAAACTAGTCACTAGAATAAGTATATTTTATGGCTTATTGTGTGATAGACACTGAACACAAAAAACAGAGGTTTGTTTATTAGTGCATCTAACAACAATGAAAAAATCCGACTTCAGTAGATACGAAAAAACCTTAACACTTTTGGATACAAACAATACTAAAAGATATACTCAGCGATTAAAAAATACCAGTGCCTTCTTTGTATCCATACTCAAAAAGTAAAGATTATAAATCTTTCTAGAAAAAAGCGATACTCTTGGAGATTACTTTAACTGAAATAAATTTAATTAAGGCAAAAACAATAATCTTGATGCGTAATTAAACGGTCAATGCTATAAAATATACTCAGAGGAAAAATACCACTGTCCTTATTTTTCTGAAAAAAAAGAGTGATGCATATCATACAGTGAACTGAATCATTTTCAACTGTTAAAAACCAGACAAAATTTCACACAGTCAAACTCAACAGGTATATGTTTTGGAGTTACAAGAGTAAGGATGACTCGCGAAGATTTTCCGTTGCAGTTAGCGTCAGGTGTTGAATCATCTACAACTAAAAAATTAACGCTAATATGTATTATTTTATTATTTGTTAATTATCTGATTTTCATGTTTGCTGATTATCCTAACCACAATTGATAGAGAAGTATGTCAAGTGCTGTTAGACGTTTTCCGGATACTAATAATTTTAGTTACTTTACTTTGTTTCAAGCCCTTTGGTATTTCTTCCGAACAAAAACTGGAATTATTCATTAATACATTTCAATCCATATTTGGCTAGATATTTATTATCAAAAAGCGCTTGATTTACACAAGTAGTGTGGTGTATACTGATAAATACAAGTAGTATGTAGTACCAATCTGAAATGGAATCTCTGGAAGCCGAAGATCGAAATGAAGAGAACAGGAAGGAAGTCGAAGTGAAATCGATAGAACAACAGAATTAGAGAAATAATAGAATACGTGAAGGATAACGTGAAAAAGATGTGCATATGATGTATTTAATGCAAAATTTTCATAATATACTAAGACACTGTGTGATTTGCATTAGATACTAAAATGGTTTTCTCCTCCAAGTGTTCTTTCATTTAAGTAAAATTAAAGAATTATGCTTTTACATAGCTTTATTGTAAAAAGCAGACATAGAAGAAAGTTATTAATTTATTGCCCGTTCTTAGTGAAACTAGTTATACAATCTAAGACGCTTAAATAATGTAGTAGAGAAATGACATACGTAGTCACTTGTTGGAAATGTGAAATTAAAGAAAAAATGATGAAATATTTACCTTTTACTGGTTAATTAAGTAATATTTACATTGAAGACAGTTGAAGTGTCACAACAAACAAATTACATGATACGTCCTTCCAAAAAGGTAACATTAAAAATAAACATGATTTTAAAATGAAATAAATCGTTGATAAACGATAAAGTTAATTTTAATTATATTTCATACGGTGCATAATAGAAGTAGAGACAGTAGTAAGTTTAAAAATCATGAACATAAAGTGTGGTTTCTCAACGTAGTTTTAATTTTTTTTTCCTCGACAGTTATGCATTCAAATAATCCATTTCCTGAATTGGTCTCAAGTGATATAAAACAAATTCCAGTAAATACATGTAGAATGGTTGAATATAATGCAAACTAATCAAGTGATCACTGAGCAAATCCTTTAGATCAATAGAAAATAAGTTATTAGAGTTACACTAACAGGGTACAGAAGAAATATTTATCAATAACATCTAAAAATAACTTAAAATACATGACTACTCATTTTCAAATAACTAACTAGGACTTAGTGTTTCAGCGTAAGATTATTGCCTGATTTAAAAGCATATACTACTTATTTATACACACAGAGAGTAATATTTCTGATACAAACATAAAACCCAATGCTCAACAGAATCATGAAGTATTCCGATGTTTCATAGTTTGACACAGAAATTGTAGACTATACACTCGTAAGTAAAAAAAAATGTATTAAGTCTTTTGAATTTACAGTGGTGGCGATGTCATACCTGACTACATAATTTTATTCGGTGAAAAAATTAAGTCAGTAAGATAGATAAATACGATTTTGTTAGGACCATGTATCGCATCTATTGTGTTTGTGTTTTTGTTTTAACAACAGCTCTTCCTCTTCATTACAAAGCCTGCCATTAAGCCGCAGAACTTAGGTGAAAGCTATTTCACTATAATGATGATTTAAAAAAAAAGTGATTTGAATAGTTCATTCCATTTGTCAAGTCTGATTCATTATATTACCTTACATTTATGTTTCATTCTTTGCTTCATTATAATGCATTTACCACTGGAAGAAATAAACGTCAAAGATTTCGTTCCAAACGAAAGCTTAGCTCAGGGATGGAAGAGTTACCAAAACGTCCTTATGTATCTGGTGGAAATAGTATTTAATGGTCATCAACGATTAATTTTCAAATAAATACTCAAATAAAAGACCTGAAATAATGTTTATTTCCCTGAAAAAAATCCAGAAAAGTATCACCATTTGCATTAGTATTGAAACTATATGATTAACAAATTCACTACTCTTTGATTTTTTGGCCTGGTCATTTCAATACCGGCGTCAGACCTCAAAATATCCCCAGATAACTAAACATAGCATTTTATTTCTACTGTAAAAATACTGATTAGGACCCAAACTTAAGTACATTTAAAGGTCATCATATTTTCGTCAAATATTTTTAAAGTTTAAATTATGAACTGGTCTCAGTTAGATCACCAGTGAAAACCTGGAAGCACTGAAAGGCCGTTTCGTCTTAGTATGGGTCTCCCCTGTTTTAGTGAGAAGCTGCGACCAGTGGAGTCCTATTGTGTTGTGTGTTACTTGTGTTTACAGACATAAGTAGTATGCAACACCAGTGAGAAGTGGGACGTCTGTGAGCAGAAGGTTGAGAAGATTGAAGTGAAGAGAAGAGAGAATAAAACTGAAAGCAATCAAGATAACAACAGGAATGAAAAGACAATGAAGCTTTTAAGTGATTATTCAAAGATTTGCAAATGATGTATTAGATGTATAATTTTCACATTTTAATAAACCGTTGTGTGATTGTGCATTGAACAATGAATTGATCTTCCACACCTGAGAGTTCTCTTACGACATTATCCGTATCGAGTGTGGGCTGCTATAGACTTCAGCCAATGGATGGAGACTGCTCAACATCGTGGTTTGGTTGAAATCAAACAGTAACACAGTTGAACGCTGCTGCTTTGGTGCGTGAACGAACAATGCTGAAAAGTCCCATACTAGAACGAAACAGGCTTTTAACAGTGGTCCAGTTAAGACCAGGTTGCGATTGAAACTGAAAATTCTAAAATCTCCAAAGATCCGCAAGAAAAATATTAAATTACATAAATAAGCTGGAAAAATCTCAGGTTAGCGTTTGCTGACAATAAATAAATACATAAGCTCACATGAAAAATTAAATCTTTTCTTTAATTTCAACTAAACTTAGTGTATTACTAAATTTTCATTGTGGCCAGTAGTAGGATCAGGGATGTATGTTTTATTCTGTTTCAGATGCGTCAGCCAGATGGACTTTAATCTAACGCCAGGACTCGAACTCTTACTGTCCTCTTCAAACTCACAACATGTAACCCATGGAGATAATGAGTTCAAACCGTTATTAGCTTACATGATCGGTATGAAATTTTTGATTTTTAAAGGTTTACCATTATTGATGTTAAGGATCACAGTTGATCAGTTCCTATTGAAATGTGTGCGTCATGAGTGGATTGACTGTGAATCGTTGTTTAGTCACAACTTTTTATTAAATCCCTTAACTGATCAGTTGCAGTATTTAACAACAATAACAACAATGGGAAAGTACAAATCCTTATAAATAAAACATATTCAATGAAGGATGTGTGTCATAAATGGTTGCTTTCAAAGTTTTAATTTATGCTTCAGTTTTCGTAGTCATTTATGCCTTAGATTATTTATTTATCCCTGGTATATATGTATGTTACATGGGTTGTCACTGACAATTAATAGGTAATTTTGGAGTGCTTTCATAAAAAGCAAAATATCTTAATATTAAAACACTTTTAAATATACAAACAAAGGTATCCTACATGTTGTATTGTTTTTGCATTCTTCCCAAACATAGTAAAATAAACTTACTTGGTATTGTTTACTTGTATCTTTCCATTATTGTTTGGACTGCAATTGATCAGTTTCTTATTGGCATATATGCATACTGAGCATACTGTCTCGATATTGCATTAAGTCACAAGCCTTATGTGCAAAGATGGATGGTGACTAGCAGTGGAATCCAGGACGCGCGTTTCATCCCATTTGGGACTCTTCAGCCGGATGTACCTGAATCCCAGAGTTCGTGTTCACTCCAGGACTATTTTGATACTTACTAATGGAAGTAATGTGTTGAAGAAATAACCTATATACATCGTAACTACGTGCATAAAGGTTTACCACTGTGTGTGTTTTTGTTTTCAACTAATATGGTGGTTATTATAATGATCACTTTTGGAATAAAGAGGTGTTCTTATTGAAGTAAGCGAACATATTAAAAAACTGGATAGAATATTACCAATAAAAACAATATATTTGTAATATCCCAATCAATAGAAAAACTAAATCTTTCGATGTTTCGTGGCTCATTGTAAACCACTTCTTCAGTGAACACATGGATAGAATATTGTTTACTTACAATAACTCAAAATATGAATTATATGACTGCGAAAGACTTTGGATCTTGATTAGTGCAAAAAACGGTTTTTCAAGCTAGATATGTGCTGTGTAAATTAAATAAATATAAATCAAATCTTCGATATTCAGTTGACCAATGTTTGCTCATCTATGTTCATAAAGTTCCAGAAAACATTTAGATTAACAAAATTTTATAAATTAATAAAAATGTATATGCAAATTCTTACACTTGGATCATGAAGATGATCAACCGTTTTTGTAGTTGCTAGAGATTTAGAATTTTTAGCGCGTTTCTTTGGATAAACTAAGCTAAGAAATTCACCTTCGAGACTGCGCCATTGGAAAAGATAATAATTTCTTTGTTCTCTTCGCCAGGTGAATGGAAAGGTTCCATTTAAATCAACCATATGATACAGTTTTACACCGACTGGTTGACCACACATACCTGAAAATCAAAAACACTGAATGTCAAAAAGCTCTCATATATGTGTAAATTATTAGGAAAAGCTGACGAGCTGACAATGTACACTATTTACTATTTAATCATTTAATCAACTCTAATCAACTGGGTAACTCTAGTCTTAATTAGATTTGTTGCAATGAGATATAAATAGATTGTTTGCGAAATACTTTTTTTCAGGACTCCTAAGCAGTGGGTATAAATGACATTGCTTAGAACCCATTCCAGATATTTAATGCTACCGACAAATTTAGACAATTGCTTATGTTCAGTTAATGAGACAATTATACCTGTGTGTAACTGCTTCTCTCTAGAATTAGTAGACTACATAGGAATTAGAAAACTGCATCTAAAAGATAATCATCAGTAAGTACATGGTTAAGTGTTTAGTGATTAGTTTGATTTCAAGATAGTTTTCTCTACTGAGTGATACCAGCCAAACAATTATTAAAAACTAAACAACATTGAAATGTTTATTCTGACTAGTTTAAGGCCCCTAAGTAATGCTTACTCTGGACCTTCAAATCTCTTGATGAACAGGACATAGAAACAGTTGGTTCTGCAGACTCAAACATTTAAAAGAAGTCAGTTCCAATCACAGCTTGATTATGATTACGAAAAAATTGAGGACCATATACCAAAAGTTGTTGAATATCAAACATAGATATAATAAATTATCATTTTACGTTACTCTGGAGTTACAGTGCACTACATGATCGACAAAATCAAGAAGAATTATAACATAATACCAATAAGTAGTTTCCCGTTTCATAAATTCAGTAATGTTCTAAATTTACAATATGGGAATATTTCAAATTTTGAAGTCAAGTAGGAATCCGATTGCATTTAAGGTGTTCAATGAGTTCCTAAAGTTTAATGCTCGTCTAACTGAAGCGAAAACATCGTTGGAATTTATTAATGATTGTATACGGAATGATCGATATCCTCAAATATATTAGAAATGTTTACGCCGGAACAAAGTTTATCTGAATTCCAGAAGCCTTAAACGGCATGCACTTAACCAAACGGATTCATTAAAATTACACATAAACAATCTAGAAAGAAATCTTTCACAAAGAGAATATATGCTCGATAACCTACCACTGGAAATAAAATCACAATTTATGGGTTATAATAACATGGTGGCAAAAAGTAGATTAGAAAAACTGGGGACAAAACTAATTCAGTCACTGGAACCTCATAAACCTAAAAGAAAATTTCCTATGGACCCTGAGCGGTACGTTCATAATTTCTCTAGTGTTACGTTAGACACATTGCAAGTAGAGGCATTGTCACTCGGCCCTAGGTTTTGTGACTATAGTAATAAAATAAACCAACTAGATACAGATGTACAGTTTGAAAATCTATCTACACAAACAAAAGAATCGGTGCCTAATTCTCCTGATGAACTAACCAGGTTTAAGACCACGTTGGTAGACATCTGCCAACAATACAAAAATAGTAGATGTACAGTGAAAACTCCACTTACCAAACAGCACCGAGATGCTTTACATGTACTTAGAAACGACAATACTCTAATCATAAGCAAGCCGGACAAAGGAGGAGGGTAGTTCTTATGAACAAAGCTGATTACATTAATAAAATGAACGTGTTTTTGAATTATCCGAAAAAAATTTCAGAAACTCAACGACGTTAAGGACTTAAATATGAAGGCAGAAAAATTGCTGACTAACTCACTGAAGGAATTAAAAAATAAAGGTATTCTTACTCCTGACATACATGACTCACTCAAGCCTACTGGATCGAACACACCGCGACTATATGGTTTACCTAAAGTTCACAAGACAGGTCTTCCTCTTCGTCCAGTTTTAGATATGTATAATTCGCATTATCATAAAATTGCAAAGTGGCTAGTTCGTATCCTAAACCCCTTACACAAATTAGTCGTCAATGGAAGCGTGAAAGACGTCTTCGATTTCATTTCTAAAGTGGAACATATAAATTTAAACGGGAAACAAATGATATCTTTAGATGTTGCTTCCCTGTTCACCAATGTACCGTTAACAGAGACTATTGATTTTGTGTGCCAGCAACTACAGGAAAAACAAACTAATATTGGAATTCCTGAGGTTAGTCTTAAAGAATTACTTTTGAAATACACAATGAATGTCCATTTTGTCTTTAATAACACATATTATAGACAAATTGATGGTATAGCGATGGGTTCGCCTCTAGGTCCCATCCTTGCGGATTTTTTTCTGGCGAAACTAGAAAACGGACCTCTCAAAGAGGTTATCAATAAACTGGATTTCTACTGTCGTTACGTTGATGACACTTTCATCATTGCCGATCAGAACATTAGAAAAGAACAACTACTAGAACTATTTAATAAAAAACATCCTGCAATTAAATTTACATGTGAAGAGGAAAGAGATAACAAACTAAATTTCCTGGACGTTTTGTTAAGTAGAAAAGAAAATGGTTCTGTCAGCAGAGGTGTGTATAGAAAAAGTTCTTCTCGAAGCCAATACACACATTTTTTAAGCTTTGTGCCTCTTCATTATAAGAGAAACTTAGTCAGATGTCTTGCAAACAGAGCTATTAAGATATGCTCAGTCGACACAATTGATAGGGAATTACAACACATTCATAATGTTTTGATTGAATTGGGATATCCACAGGGTTTCCTGAAGAAACACTTGCGTGTACAAAACAAGAAAATAGTGACTCTGACGGCTAATAAGAAACTGCTTTTCTTGAAGCTGCAATTCAGTGGTGATGTAGCTAGCGATGTATCACGGGATAGATTGACTAGAGCAGTAAAGAGAACGTTTGATGCTGCCAACCTCTACCTATCGTATTCTACCCGATCGATAGTGATTCCGCAATTGAAGGATAAGTTACCTGGTTATGCCACTTCTATGTGTATCTACGAATTCAGCTGCTCCTGTGAAGAAAGCTATATTGGGCGCACCACCAGGCAACTGAACCAACGAGTTAGTGAACACCTCACTTCGTGGTTAGGAAAAGGTTACGCCAAAACAATACGCAGCTCAGTTCTATCACACTTGATCGATAGCGGTCATACAGTGGACAGAAACAAGTCGTTCAAAGTTATTTATCGGATTCCCACTAGTTTTCCTTATGGTGTTCGACCTCGTCTCTTACACATAGCAGAAGCTATAGGAATCCGAGCCAACAAGCCAAGTCTTTGTGTTCAGAAGAAATTTGTAACACCCTTATCTCTCCCCTGGCCTTAAGTAATAAATGAATTTATTTATTCTTTTTCAAACTTTCTCTTCGTTTATTATTATTTTTCTTCACCCCCTCCTACCTCTTTATTTTCTCTCAACTATACGTTTCATGGTCTAATTATCTGAACATTTCTTATTACGTCATCTCATAATTTTATAAATGATATTTCAGTGTCTATATTCTTCTAATCATTGACCTATTTCCGATTATGTAACATTGATTTGAGCCTTTATTATCACATAGCCTTTATATCACATAGTTCTGATAATCTTCGTCTTCTAATATCATTATCGAACTTTATTATTGTTATCAAAACTAATGAACCTGTTGTCACACCATCAATTTGTACTTTTCACGTTTCACTTATTATGTAATCGTTTTCATTGTTATCATTGACTTATAAACAACCTTGATTGGTTTAATAAATTCGTATATGCATATAAATATTACTGTATATTAGAGTAAAGCCTGATGAGGATCTAATCGAAAACAATATTGTTCGCTTAAATATGTTGTTCTAAATTCAGTAATAGTGGAAATGAACAAAATCTTTTCAGTATCTTTTGAGTCAATGCGAAGTATTATCACTGCGCCGTTTGCTCAGGACTAGATCAGCTGAGTAAATCACCTAATTTCATTGCATTTTCTGATCAAGTTTTCAGTCACTTTGATGTTAAGCATGTAATCGATTTCCAGTACTTACTTAATTTCACATCTTCTTTGTCTTCATCGTACGTCGGACAACTTGGATGCTTGTCAATAGCTTGTTCAACAATACGCTTTAATGCTTCTTGTGAGAGGACATAACCTGCACCTCCAGAGAAATAACCATTTTTTGTAAGGTACTATCAAAGAATCAATACAATATATATCTTCTTTAGAAACAAATGAAAGAAATAATCAAGTTGTATTGTTAGGTAGTTTGAAACTTATGTTCTCTGATAAGATTTCACTCCCGTTGTTATTATAGTGTAGAATCGTTTGATTCGATACCAAATAAGCACAAAATTATAACTTAAATGGTTACAGAGTTCTGAAGTTAACAAATATTCGTTAGTTTGCTGATGTTAACTATGTAAATCCAGATTATTAGGATTATTGGAACTCAATATCTGTAGATTAACGGCATACAGTTCTTGTTTCCGGAAATGTAATGTAATGCCAACTTGTTGTTCATGTACAGGAGAGTAGAGATGTTTACTCAACTGATAGGTAATCCTTTAAACATGGATGCAAAATTATTTATATTCGCTCTTAGATATTATACCACATATCTAGACTAACATACCTGTCGTTAGATGACTCTTCATATCAGAAAGAAATGATTATTTGACTTAATGCTTGATGACAGACTGTTTGAACAAATGGTTTTATGACTAAAACGGATCTAGTGAGCAACTTTCAAATGTATACAAGCTAAATAAGTTAGAATAAGGGCAGACTAAAATGTCTACAACAAGCAAATTAGAACCAGTATACGATGTGCAAACTAATGCGTTTTAAAATAAAGGCAATCCGACAAAGAACAGAACTACACAAAAAGAAACTAGTATATTTCATATACAGGACTATTATAACAGTTGATACAAGCTATGTATTGATTCCTAGATTGAAAGCTCTAATAGTCGTGTTTCGGAAATCTTTTATAAAATCTACCGGGCTTACACTTGACTCTTCACTCTTTTACATGACTACAAAACATTAAATTCTCAATGTCGTAATAACTCTTACTACTGTAAACCTTATTACCTAATATACTGAAAAACGAAATCTTCATCAAAAGGTTTGTAATTCGTAGGTCTGATTTCACTTGGTAAAGTCTAGTGTAGACTTATGAAGTTTTAATAAAAACAAATAATATATTTATAATATCCCAATGAGTAGGAAAATTAGATTTTCCGACGTTTCGTGACTCAGTGTAAGCCACTTCTTCAGAGAATAAATAGCCAAATCAATATTAATCCAAGTTTAAATAGTACAACGGAACAATAAGAATAATATCTGATCAATCAAAAACAGGTCTGAACAGGTTAATGTCATGTCATTTTGGTCAAAGTGATTTATAAGTGATATGTATGTAAATTTGTGTGTATGTATGTGTGTATTGTTTAAGGGTGAAAAATTGTGTGACATTTATGGTGAGAAAGGATAGAGTTTAACTTGTAAGATAATAGTGTGAATTGTGAATGATGTCAGACTAGGTGGCTGGGATAGATAGTCCAAATAGGATGTATGATAAGGCCTTCTTTTCTATTGAGAGCAGTAGGATTAAGCAGTATATGGAACACTTCAGCTACACTCCGTTCTTTGTAATTGGAAAAGCCTTTTTGTAATATTTTGATATTTTTGAAATCGATTTGGTGGTCGTTAAAAATGGAGTGAACTGTTATTGCCAATTTAATTTGAAGTCTATCCAGTTCTACGGGATTATTAAGTGGTTTCTTCGTGTACCTAATATGTTCTTTGGCTCAAGTCCAGATTTCGCGAGATGACTCTCCAATATAGAAGGCATCACAATCGACACAACCTAATTTGTAGACGCAGTTCTGTGTTGACATGAAGGGAACTTTTTCTTTTAAGCGAACTAAAGTATTTCGAAGTAAGTTGTTTTGTAATATACTTTAATTCTGTGTTGTTTTAAGATTCTTTCGAGTTCTTCTGCTGTGCCATGATGGTATGGTAAAATTGCAGTACCAATCCATGGCATTCCATTCGATTTATTATATTACGCAATGGAACGTCTTGTTTTAATATACTTCTAATAATCTTCATAGGGATGCTAATTACATTCTCTTGTACTTTTTGTTTATCCTATTTCCATGTGATAATCTTGTTGGCTGTTCTAAAAAGATTTAGGGTTATCGAGATCTTTGCACTGAATGGATATGTGTAGGCTTTCAGTAGATGGATAGATTTAGAATCCCATTTTGATTTCTTTTCACTAAGCAATCTAAAAATGGTAACTCATCATGTTCATTTTCATTCTCGTTCGTAAATTTGATATGCGATGAAAGTTTATTGATTCGTTTCGAAAAAGATCTTAGATGGGTCTTTTTTATTACAACAAAGGTATCATCTACATATCTAAGCCAAATTCGTAGTTTAATGTCGTTGGCGAAAATACTTGATTCTATGTGTGCCATAAACAAGTTGGCTGGAATCGGAGACCCGGGGGATCCCATTGTTACCACCGTTAGTTTATTTGTCTAACGTCCCGTTAAAAGTAAAGTGTCGAATTTAAACAGAGGATTTTATGATTAGACTAATGCTTAAAGGATATCTGTCAGAAAGAGTATTGTCGTTCTCTAGTAAACCACTAATGAATTCTAAGCATTTATCAATAGGAATACTAGTATATGATGAAACATCACCATCGCTTACCATGACTTCATTCTTTTCGATAATTAATTCCGATATTTTCCGATAGTTTTAATAAAAGAAAATGTCTTAAGTGATTTCTATTTTTGATAAGTTGAGTTGATTTAGTTGCTAAATTTTAACATTTAAGTTCAAAGATCATATTCACTTTTAATCAATAAATTAATCGAATAAACCCAATTTATCTCATTTCTAATAAATTTAGATCATTAAAGGTTGATTATCAAATAGATTACTATAAAAAATAATCAACTGAGTTGTGAGTAAGAATATGTATTCACCTTTGATCTTATAGATACCAGTCGTATATTTTATCTGTTGATTAAGTTTAGCAATATTTAGTAATTCTCTAGATTATGTCAGTTAGTGATAGAAGTTATCTGAACTAACCATTTATAAATTGATTATTTAGAAAAAGGATTTGTTAGGTTGAATTATTCTTTTATACTGGATATACTACTTCATTACTAATGATCAAATATGTTTAGAAAAGAAATAATATTATTGAATGCAGAAATTTGTTCTTTCATTATATTTCCTTATTGTTTGTATAAAAAGATTTTACTAATAATTTGAGTTATAAGGTAATCTCTCTTAATTATAAAAACACAAAATAGGGCAAAATAGGGCCAGTATAAAACAAAAATAACACTGAGCAAAGATGGATAATGGCTAGCAGTGGAATCCAGGACACGCTTTCTGTCCTATTTGGGACTCATCAGCTGAATGTACCTGCACCTCAGAGTTGATGTCCACCCTGGGACTCGAACCCAGTACCATTGCGCTTCAAATGCCATCGCCTTACTCACTCAGCTACTGAGTCCTGGATTCCACTGCTTGTCATCATCCATCTTTGCTTATAATGCTTGTGAATTAAAGCAATATCGAGGCAATACGCATATTATGCACATATGCCAATAAGAGACTGATCAATCGCAGTCCTAAACATCAATGGGAAGATTCAAGTAAACAATACCAAATGAATTCAGAAATAAACTTATTTATAATAACTTTGGAAAAAGAATTTAATCACTTGAGTATTTCTTTTATATCACACAACTAACAGACTATGACAAACGCTTATAATTTAAACATTGACTTAACTTACTTTTAACAGCTTTATTTACAAACCTAATGCAACTCAAAACTGAATGGCTTCTTAAAGCGTTAGCTATTATCACGAAGACATGTCTGAAAGCTTGAGAGTATTAGCACTCTCCATAAGATTTGGGTAATTATCAAGAAAGATTAAAAGTGCCCTTGTTTTAGATAATTCCCGACTGACGTTTTACAAAAAGCTTCGTACTTTGGTCAATAATATTATGTCAACCAGTCATACTCAGAGATCAAGTAACTAGTATTCTTGCTTACGATTATTTCAGGTTTATACGTTCACAATAACTGATAAAAGAACTATCGTATAAAAACTGAAAACTTAAAATTTTCAGATTGCTTTTATTAAATGCGCTTTTGTTACATAATCACATTTGGGAACTAGAGGAAATCATGAATATAACTACTGTTAGATATTGCGAATTTCCAAAAGTTTAAAAATAATCAAACTTACAGGGAAATTATAACCAATCATAAATGGATCTTTTGGATTATGCTGATGTAAAATAGATCTTAAATTTTCCATGATTACAAAAGTATCATCATCTGCTTTTAAAAAATAATCATAATCATTTCGATATTGATAGACATAACGAAGAATTGCTCGCATTTTACTCCATAAATGTTGACGACTTTCTGGATAACTTAAATTTAACTCTAAGAACAAAAACAGTTATTAAATGTTAGTTTAGTAAAAGAATAATAAATAGTTTAAAATGGATATAGCCATATTGTTTGTTTGCCTATTATCTCTGCCTTAGAATAAACACATTAACAATGTGGCAAATGCTAGTTAACGGAGGGCTGCTGGGGTGTACCATACTGGGACGAAACACCTGTCCTGTGCTTTCAGGTTTTCAATGGTGGTTTAGGTATGACCAATTCATGATTTAAAAAGTGAAAATATTACAATCTTCACAAATTCGCGATACTAGAAAGAATAATTGTCATCATTTATCTTCACAGTTTTTCAATATTATTCAGAAATACTCGGTGATTTTTACGTGATAATTCAAGGAATGACTTAATTAACTAATAGACTTTAATAAAGTTTATACTCAGTTTAAAATAAATTTTAAAACCTTAGTGATATTAGTAGATTAATTAGGCGAACAAAAGTATTCAAAAAAACTTTTCTGAAAAACAGTGCAAAGTCTTACTATTATAATTTCCCTTCTCAAATTCAATCTTATGATTTCATAATTTGAACATTGAGTTCGAGTTTCATTATGCATTTCAGCATTATAATACAGGTCCATTCGGTTGAAAAATCCTGAATAACGAGGAACTTACATTTTAGACTCGATTGTTTGTCACTACCAGGAAAATTATGAAGAGTATGTGTATTTACGTAATATCAAGGTTTTTACTTAATGAATCAACATGTCATTAAAAATTTACTATTTCAGTTTTCAATCTCATCAGTGAAAAAATTCAGATGAAGTAATAATAGGAACGAATCTCGTTGGTAGTCAAAGCTGAATAAAGAGTTAGTATATTTACACTCATACATCAAAAGGATGTATGACAACTGAAAACGATCACTCAAGACAGAGTTCAATGGCGAATGCTGGTGAGCAGCCTATACTCCTCCACGAGGGATAACAGGTGTAAGTAAGTATATTTACACCATTTCAGCAAATGGTAGAACATTTCACTCGGGGACAGAAATTGCTTAATCTACTGACTGGTATCTGTTCTGTGGGATTTTTTGTAATTATGTGTAATCCTTTGGACATAAACACTGATGTCTTATTTTGAAGTGTTCGGAAATAGTAACGGCAACTGTATCGCTAGGAATCTTGAGATCAACCTTTTATTGTAAAATGTGATTTAGAATTTATTTGTGCATTTTCACAACTGAGCAATTTGAATTCGACAGAATTTCTGGCCAATGCTCTTGATTTTTGTTATTCTAATCGAGAGTTTGATTAAAACGAAAATTAAATATTTGAAATTGCATAAGAGAAAGTGAAAAATTTATTGTTAGTGTCATATGAACTTTAATTCTAGAGAAAAGTAGGGAGTCATAAAGAGTTTCTTTCTATATCAGCACTACTCGACACCTTAGTTCAACTCAATCCGCATTTTGATTGTAGTTTCAACTTCAATAAACAATAAGTACTGTTATATAGTGATAATTTATTTGAACTTTTCAGTTCGTATCGCTGTAACAGAGTTCATGAAAATAAAATGTGATTTCGTAACTGAAAAGCATACAGATTAAGAGTATCAAATTATTTGTAACAAAAACGGTTTAAAGTTTTGTATAAATATTACAGAATTCATCATAACTGAAAAGATCTGCAGCTTTTTACAAAATGTGAATCCATGATAAAACTTGTATATATTAAAGTAACAGTCGAGGAATGACATATTAGAACGAATTAGCTGTCTAGTATTTCCTAGATTTTAATGATGGTCAAATCAAAATCAATTCATGATTTAAAATGTGTAAACTTGTTAACTAAATAAATCAAACTTCATCAAAATGTTTTTATTTCGTTGAAATTAACGTCTTAGCTTAACAAATTAACTAAATTATTATCAGAAGTATTGTGGAGATTTTAGAAAATTCACTATTTGAAATCATGAGTCAATTGAAGCTAGACCACCATGGAAAACCTGGAGGCACTGGAAAGCCATTTTGTCCTAGCATGAGACTCCTCAGCAGTGCGCATCCACGATCCCGCCCTCCGCGAGGTTCGAACCCAGGACCTATCAGTCTCGCGCGCGAGCGCCTAACCATTAGACCACTGAGCCGGCCGACATCCAACGGTGTTAATGTCTAACTTCAGCCAATGCACGAAATTGCGCCACCATAAACCATTGTCTTCAGTGAGCTGATATTTCACAACAGACCTGGTTGAACTCCACTGGTCACGGCTTCTCACTAAAACTCCAGGAAATGCCTCTTGAAGTTCATGTTTCCCATGATGGTCTAGCTTCAAATGACTCATGTTTTCAACTAGTGTAAATTATTAACTAATCAAAGTAAACAATTTATATTAACTAAAGTGTAAAGATTACTAAAATTAGATTAAATGAAGTTACATAAAAACTAGAATTCTATAATATAAAATTTTTTTCTACTTACTAATTGTTGGTAATTCCTTGTCATATACACTACTCATAAATAGATATTTTGTACAACGTTTTGCCCAACTATTTTTAACATAAATAGCTTTGGTTCTATGTGTTTTGGGTATTGTATTAATGTAACATAATATACGAATAGATAAATGTAATTTTTTAGCTTCTTCTATATTCATTACTAAACAATAATATGAAAATAACAAATAATTATTATATCAACATTAATGTAATATTTGTCAATATACAATATTTATGAGTTAATATTAAATATTATCAAGTTAGTTTCTGTATTTCAGAAATTTGTGATGTTTACTTCATTGTCAATTCTTGCATATTACGTATTATTCTTTATTGTTCTCCACTATTCTTTCCCGGGCTTTTGAGAAAAGACTTTGCTGTGTTGCGGAGAGTGCTGAAGGCAGTTAGCAAAGTGTGTGGTGAACCTTTCGATGTCATGATTAATATGGTTGTGGATAGACATCTAAAGTTATGCAAACTCCTGGCAGGTGTTATTTTATCAGATACTAACCATCCCCTTTACTCTTATCTTTCTCCTTGTATATCTTCTGGTAGAACGAGACGTAATTACATTAAAATCCATGGACACAAGCAAAAGTATAAAAGTTCTATAATACCTTACCTAGCAAATATACTCTGTGACGAACAGGTTGTTAGAGTTAACCTAGTCAATAACCTGCATTTTTAACATGTCTTTAATTTTAAAAGTTGTACAGTTTTTCACATATTTTTAAAAATCTTTTTTCCCTTGTTTTGTCTTTGTTTCTGTTTTTTGTGTGTAAGAAACTTGTTGAAATACTCTGTGCTGAGAATTCTATATTGTACCTAAATGTAATATTGTATAAAGCCATTAATAGTTAAAAATTAATTAAATTGTTAAATCAAATATAAAGTATGTCCTTTGAATTGTATAGATTAACTACCGATAAATGATATTTTCAAGATGACAAAGTAAAACATTCGAAAGGAAGACTGATTTTATAAGAACTAGCTTTTGTATAATGTATTCTGAATTGAGAAGAAATCAATAGATTTCGAATAAATTCTTCAGCATCATTTGTTTAGGTTTGTTATTCACCATTGTTTCTTTGTCCTATCTTTAGTACTGAATGTATCTTAAAGTAAGTTATAAAATGAGACTATCAATCTTGGTAAATTAAATATATTTACTGTTGAATAGTTAGTATTACTCGAAATGATACTATATATGAATTCTATAGACTATTTGTAAACAACATCATGAGCTGTTTGTAACTAATACTTGTTTGTAGACTTTAACTAGCATTAAAACTAGGTTTTTAATCGGAATCACATATCTCTAATTAATTAACCAACTATGATTATTATAAGCTGTTCAGAAAAAAATAATTCATAGGGTACTTGTTGAAGTTTCCTAGTAAAATAATTTAGTTTAGAAGAAATTCATCGAAAGCATTCAGTTAATTATTTAATTTAAGATCAAAATCTATATGTTCAAAAATAATTGTCAAGAAATTCATACTGTTTAATTGGATACTTAACAATATTCGAGTTATTATACTTGATCAACTTGACGAACACAGTATAAATTCAAAGAATTACTAGGTTAATACTTGAATCAAGATGAAAAAGTTATGTATTTCATAGAGTTCAAAGTATATTTTTTATTAGATAGTTGGAAAATTTCTGGTCGGCGACCTATGCTCCATTCAGGGTCACAGGCGTATGTATGTATGTATGTAAGTTAGAAAATTCACATTTATTATATTGAAAGCTAAACATGAAAAGATATTAAGCTCTATGTTGGTAATTCACTGGTATATAATGTGTTATATGTAATTACGAGTGTTCAACCTATTGTTCTTCAATGGTAATTTACCAATTATTGAAGCTTTAATTATCAAATGAAGGAAAAAAAAGAATGTCACAATTTTAGAAAAAAACTGAAATGGCAATTTTCAATTTAATATTGGAATGTAACACAATCAAAACTAAAATTCATAAAATAATTAATTATAAAATTCAAAATATTCGCATAATTTCAATGATTCTTTTAATTATTTACTACAGAAGTTGACTGACTGTTTGCATGGAACACGTATGAAAATAGTGCAGCTGCTAAGACTGGAATAATTATAAGAAGTATATTAACTATGATTAGACAATTGACTGATGAGTTTACTCCATTTTTTTTAGAATCAGACAATCTCAAACTTGTTCATTAAATTCTCCAAAAAATAGCTTGTTAAAATGTTTGTTTATCTTATAGAATTTGTTTACTTTTCTATTAATCTTACGACAACATTATGATTAGTAATTTTTCCAAAAGTACTTAATTTTTTTAATAAATATTTGGAAGATGTAAAAACCTTTACATATTTGGGCAGCATCATTGATTAATACGGTGGAACTGATGCAGATGTGAAAGCGCGGATCGGAAAAGCAAGAGCAGCATATTTACAACTGAAGAATATCTGGAACTCAAAACAACTGTCAACCAACACCAAGGTCAGGATTTTCAATACAAATGTCAAGACAGTTCTGATGTATGAGACGGAAACCTGTGGAACTTCGAAACCCATCATCTAGAAAATACAAGAGTTTATGACAGTTGTCTACGCAAAATACTTCGGATCCGTTGGCCAGACACTATCAGCGACAACCTGCTGTGGGAGAGAACAAACCAGATCCCAGCAGAGGAAGAAATCAGGAAGAAGCACTGGAAGTGGATAGGACACACGTTGAGGAAAGCAGCGAACTGCGTCACAAGACAAGCCCTCACATGAAATCCTCAAGGCCAAAAGAGGAGAGGAAGACCAAAAAACACATCATGTCGAGAAACAGAGACAGACATGAGAAGAATGGAAAACTATTGGATAGAACTGGAAAGGAAGGTTCAGGACAGAGTGGGTTGGAGAATGCTTGTGGCGGCCTATGCTTTATTAGGATTGACAGGCGTAAGTAAGTAAGTACTTAATTTATGGCTATTAGGTGAAAACTGTGGTAAACATTAGTAATAAGACAGCTCTTTAACACTACATACCTCTTTAATCTTTATTATTTTGTTACTGGTCTGTAAGAAAATATATTCTGCCAAAGTTCTACGTAAATTTCATAGAGATAACCTTATCATTTACATTCTAGTGAGTCAGTGAGAACTAAATTTGTTAAATAAATGGTTGAGCATAACTTACAGTAAGTTTGTTCGACTGCTTTATTTGATTGGATTTTATACTGTTTTCTTATCTTTGGATGTAAATCAGCATGTTTTTTTCTGGATTTATCATTTTTACATAGAATAACTTTATTTTCATATCTAGGTTTTAGTGAGATAACAATAATTCCTATCATAATTCCAACGAATAATGGTAAAAATTTACGAGTTTCAAAAAACATAGTAAAGATGATATTCAGAATTCTCTACTTTCCGTATAAATCACAACAGATGATAAAGTGTATATATACCTAATTTTGCGATATATTCAGATTTGCGGGGGCGGGGTGACAAAGTGCAACACTTTAATTCAAACTAAAAGAGTTCTGGTATTAGTTTGATATATCATGCCATACATTACTAAGTGGAGATTGATTAATTTAGTCAATTGTGCAACTCCACGTAATTTGTGTACTAATAAATAAATGATTTTCTTAAGTTCAACAATCAGGTTATTCTTGGATATCTCCTAATGCTTTACAATGAATACATAGTTTTTGCAACTCTTACAGTAATCGTAGTGTTGATGATGAATGATTGGAGTATATTTCTGCATTATATAACCAAAGACTGAAGCACTTTTAAAATGTCTATTATGAAGTGAAATCAATTCATAGTAACTAAGACATTTTCAGAGGCTTAAGTCATCAAACCTCAGTTTAATATAATTTATAAATTCGGGTTACTACCAACATGGGCGTAGAATTTATTCAGTTTTTATTTAATAGATATTTATGAAACGTTTTTATAAATTTTCAAATGCAGTTGAATGTATTTGGGGAAGAAATCAATGATAAAATTAGAACTCGATCAAGTGAAATCTCATTTTGATGATAGGATGTTTCTTCAGGTGAAGTGTTAACCTATTGAATTTGGTTTTTATAAAGCTGGGTAGATATACTGTCAGTACAGTCCTCTGAATCTTTCTATTCACGTGTATTCTGCGTGTAGCTCTATATGCCTTCACTTCATAATTCTTAGCAGAGTTCGTTTTAATATATTTCCTGTTTCCAAAACTCTAAGCATATGTTTATCAATGTTAGCATCCTAACTTGAAACCACTAACCGCGTCATTTATCACTAATTATGCTTGAATATGTATTTGAAATAATTGTAAATCGAAACAGAAAAATGAAGACTGCTTGTCTAAGTCACAAGGATAAGCCTTTCATACTCATGGGTTCCCATTTAGTTTATATAATTGCCTGCTTAAGTTAGACAGAGTTTTAATGATTCTGATGTAAGCCGAAATATCCCAGTACACTGAAGTATATGTCAGAATATTTATACCTATAAAAAGATGTTTTAGTATGATTATAAAGTGAAAAACTGAACCTCTATGTCAACCAATAACAAATCAATTACGTCAATAAATTAAACACTTGAAAGGCCACGTGAAAAGTATATCAGAGATGAACTAATGTCTCTGCATAATCTAAATTTTCGAACTACAGTGCAATTAAAGATAGGTTTATCAGCTGATCGATCACGCAGTATCATTTTATATATTGCCCACTGAAACTTACATAAATTGAGTCCCTCAGTTCTATTGTTATAGCGATCTCAATTGACACAATATTACGAGGTTAAGGTGAATCAGATCACTCGTAACACATGCTTTACCTGCTAGGGTTCAGTAAGGACATGAACCAGTACCACCATTACAAACACAAAACAGAATTTCAAATGGCATACATGTAACTTGGATATTATATGATAGGTGCAGCTAAAAAATAATGAATGGAAAGTATCTGGTAACACCCGATATCCTGATTGTCAAGAAAATCGCTTATCGAATGTCATGTTATTTACGCCGGCTCCAGAAGATAAAAAATGATTATGATTATTTAAATAACTTGGGAAAAGGCTAAGTTTGACATCCTAATCGGAATCCACCTGTGTTATTTCCTTTTTTACTTCAAACTAAGTATAACTACCAAGAAAGATCTTTTACTGTGTCAAGACTGTCGATCTCCTTCACCACCTCAAAAACAAAGGAATTATATTGAAGGATAAGGAGTAGATTAACTGTTTATCCTAATCAAGCTTTCTTACAGAGTCCTGATTTATGTGACATATTGTGAATCTTTTAGGTTCTCTTGATCTTTCACACATGCCAAGGAATGTGAATCGAGAATACCACTTGACTCCATGTTGGAGGATTATGATACTGAGTTTGAGATGTTCGGTTAATATGGTGTCTGTATGAACTAATGATTCCTCTGTACTTAATGATTGCCTGGTTTCAAATTCCAAACACAATACGTTCGTTCGTGCGACCTGATGGCTAATTCTCGTAGACTGGCAGGTGTAGGCATAGCACTAAGTACGAGGGCAGAACAAGTACCATTAGAGTGGAACTCCGTTAACAGTCGTCTATGTGCAGTTCGGCTAAACTGCTTCGTAAGAACTCGGAAGGTTAGGGACACACGTGGTTACCTTTTCGTCATTTCTGCCTACGCTCCCACTGACTGCAGCCTGGATGAAGTGAAAGTTGACTTTTACAGAAAGCTCTCTGAACTTCTTCATAAAGCTAACCTCTTGTATCTCTTTCTTCTTCTCTCATGTAGCCGTTTACTTTCCGTCCATCTTCACCACAGACCTTTTGCTGTTGACCGACATGTTTCTCTTTTACCGATCCTCCTAAATATGGTCCACCTCACTTTCAGCAATTAATCCCGCCACGTCGAGCCTTCTCGTTTAATTATATAATTATTTATTTGTTTATATTCACGCTGAATATTAAAACTTTTGACAACGACATGATAATCAGTTTATTCAATAAAAATGACATTTTCATGCCCCTGCTTATATGACCTTGGTTTTACCATGTTTATTAAAAATTATGTTATCCTTATCACTGTAATTATTATCATTTTGAAAAATAAGTTCATTGTAACGACTTAAATGCCAATATTTTGTATGAACGCAGCACTAACGAACTAAAACTTATTCCTTTCAACCAGACTATGTTTTTCTGCGTAGCGTACAAAGCGTTTTCGTATGACTTGCAATAAATTATATCAAAACACAAACCCCGTGTTACTTTAAAGTGTTATAGTAATATTCATCCCTAACCACACAATCCTTGGAGGTGAATGTATAATTACTGAGATCAACTTTCAACAAATAACAGGAAGAGAAAGCCAACAATGATGGATGCGAGAAGGACGAATCGAAATGGCATGGCTCAGTCATGCAGGCGCAGTTGCTTTAATTTCTTGCCTATTGTATTAAATATATTATTTTTTTCTAACCCCAAAGGTGTTCTTCAGAAATACTAGACATCATATTGCCGATCGTCACGGTAGGTTGAGTTAGGGTAGATAATAATACGACTTTCACGTAAGACCTTATAAATAAATTAGTCACATCATGAAAAATCTAAAATTTGGTGGTTGGATCTTTTATAAGAGTAGCAGTAATACCGAACTAGATCATAATTCTACAAAGGTACTAAAACGACGGCTCTCCATAACTCCGCGACCAAGACATACTGTTTCTGTATTACTCGAAGAGGACAGATGAATTCATATTTTAAGTATTCAGTAATAAAATGTACAGTTCTGTAAGACTTTAGTGTTGATGCCGACTTCACTAAATTTGCTGGACGCACTGAAGCTCAAGGCTCACGATCATGCATTCTCACCAGATCATGAAATGGTATGCCTTGCTACTCACCCCTTGCAACTGCTAAGCAGCTCAGACCTAACGCTTCTCAAAGTACGGACAACCTTCCAAATATGTTTATCAATACATTCAAACCTGAATTTTGTTTTGACTGTGTCGCTAACCTTCGATAATAAATATACTACAGACAAAAGCGTTGCCAGTTCCAGAATATCTGTATAAACTTTAAGTCTGTTTAGTTGTAGATGAAGTATTGCGAATAGTAATTCTCGCGGCAGACTGACAATCTCATGCCTGAAATAGCCACATTTGCCGATCAACTATTTTACACTCAACATCATTAACAATGAAATTAGGTGTATGATTCACCATTCTGTTGTCATTTTTCTAATGTGGGGTACGTTTGTGTAGATAGATAGTTTGTCTAGTGTTTGATGCCGATACGCTGACACTACGCGAAATTTTTAATGACCTAAAAAGTTTGTCGATAAGAGGTAGCCTCGGTTTTTCTTAACAGTTCTTGGGAGTATTCACGAGAAAGTGCCGTAGTTGAAGTTAGTAGAGTTGGCCCATAATATTGTCTTCTCCACTTATCTGGAATCACACCTTCGTTTAAGAGATTGTAGCACAGTACACTAAAACATGCTTTCAGGATTGGAATGGACCACTTGATGACTGGGCTGTTTTTTCAGGTACTGTGACTTTATTATGCACGTATACAGTACTTCGATTATCCCCAGAGATTACTAGGATGAGGCATTGGCCATTTGCTTCTTGAGAAAGATGAACTGAACCGACCACTCACGAGAATTTTCTGGCGAAACAGACGACAACTTACAGGAACTATCTTAAGTTTTCAGAACAAGTAGTGCGCACTAATTAAAATGACAGTGGTATTTTTCCTCGCTGAGTAAATTCTATTGTTTTGGTCGTTTATTACGCATCATGACTACTGTTTTCACATTAATTGGATTTATTTCAGTTAGAGTATTCAATTACAGTATCGTTTCTGCTTCCATATTAGTTTGTCGTCGGTGATTTTGTACATGTTGTGATTATCCTTGCTTTCGTGTAATTATTGCATCAAAAGCATTCTTAGTCTGAATCAAAATACTATAGTTAAAGTTTGAAATCTTGCTAAGGTTTGTCTTGTAGTACCTTTTTACTCGTTGACTGACACTGTGTTCATACTGAGATCATATTCTGTTTTACACCTTGATCTGACTAAAATGGTTGGTAGTACTCACAAATGTGGACAGCCAAACTGTTTGTTCCCTGTGGAGGAAGGAATGCAGTGTTATGAATGCAAAAAATGGTTCCATAAAATATGCACCCGTTTTAGTCCCACCGCATACAAAAGATGTTCGAAGCCTAACTCACGTTGGCTTTACATGTTTTGCTGTGGAAATAAAACGTCACTAGTACAGGAGGTTATGAGCCTATTGGCTTTGGCCTTTAAGAAGAACGATGGCACGTTAGCTGATAACACGAGCATTGACAGTGACGAATGTGTCAGTGTAGTACCCGCTGTTACACGACGTCTTAAACAATCGACTTTGACTGACAGGGAAGTGAAATCTTCGTTAACATTAATGAGTAGGGTAGTACCACCTGACACTAACATTGATAACCATGCACCGCTAGTGGAAATTGAAGATCTGGATAAAACTGTCACCGCTCAAAATAGTCCCAGTGTCCTGAGGGATAAAAAATGGACTACAGTATGAAAAAAACGAAACGAAAAGAAAAAAGCTGAAGGCAGTACGCAGGTGGTTAGCAAGTCACTGGTGGACTCCTATTGTGAGTCACAAAATTTGATAGTAAGAGAGAAACCCACCCTGGCGTGACTGAAAAGAAGAATCTAATATCATCGAATATTACTGTAAGCAAATTGCTGGAGTCGAACGACCCTGATCCCAAAATTAGACACGCGCATGATTTAGAGAAACTGGGAGAATATATTCGTAGTATCTTACCAGATAACTCTGAGTTCAGGTAAAAAAAAACTGGTTAGAATAAGTAAGAGGACTGAGGACAATGTTGAACCCCGACCACGCATACTCCTTAAGGTAATCCTAGGATCGGAGAAGCAACGGGATCTCCTGTTAAGTAGCGCTTGTTGTCACGACAATTCCGACATCCGAGTTAGACTTGATATGTCTCTCGAAGACATAATAAAAAGGAAGAGAGCACTGGCCAAACTAGGAACCCTTCGGCGAAACGGTGAGGAAAATCCCTGGCTAGTGGGTTTTCGGATAGTCAGGTCTTGGAAGCGTATGCTACCAAGGCCTGTGTGGATAGGTCGTCCTACTTAGGAGTTTTATATGCTAATGCTCGTAGTCTAAGAAATAAGTTCTATGAACTCGAAGCATTAGTGGACAGATTAAAGCCACTCATCGTAGCAGTGACAGAAACTTGGTTAGTCCATGACTTCGACACTACTCCGGAATTATTCGAATACCATTACCTCCGGAGTGATAGACACAGATGTAGAAAAAGAGGTGACGTCCTGTTATATATAGCCAATAGCATAAATATCCGCTCCTCTGCTAGTGAGTCCCATGATAGCGGTACTTGTGAAGTCATTAGCTGTAAGTTGGCTATCGGATGCAGTACATTTATGCTAGGTGTCATCTATCGCATTCCGATCTGCTTAGCTGATGACTTTATTTTAGAGCACATTCACATTTGGAGTGCAAATACCAGATGCTTGATAATAGGAGACTTTAAAGCACCTGATATTAGTTGGACTGAGATGACCACGGAAGGATCTATAAACTTCTTTGATAGTAGGTTCCTGGTAACAATAATGGAGCATGCACTAGTGCAGCATGTGTCCAAACCCACACATTTTGATACTAACTAAGGTTCTTCTCTGTTGGGCTTGGTAATCACTCATGATACTGAGGATATTGTCGACCTAAATATTCTTCTGACATCAGTGAACAGCGATCACGCTGTTTTGTCATTTATGTTCAGAACTAGGGACATGTGATACGATCAGGTTACACCGCGCCCAAATGTATGGGAAGCTAACATATAAGCCATTCGGGAATGCGCTGCTAAGACTGATTGGTTTATAGATACTAGCTTATCAGTTGAAGAATCATGGTCTGTATTTAAAGGTCAGTTTAGTTTAGTTACGTCCCCGTTCATACCATACCTGATACCACGAAGGCCGAATAGCAGTCCACCATGGATAACGAAAACAGTCAGGAAACTTCTTAGAAAAAGGAAGAAGCACTGGAATATGTTCATCTCTTCTGGCTTAGGACAGTACAGATCCAGTTATTGTAAGATTAGGAATACCTGTAAAGCGTTAATAAGTAAGACTAGACGATTATATGAAAAACAATTGGTTAGGGATTCTAGATATAGTCCGAAACGGTTATTCTCGTATATAAAAAGGCGAACCAAGAGAAGCGATGGAATTCCATCACTTTTGATACAAGAAAATTCGTTAGTCTTGACAGAAAATGATACCGTAAAAGTTGAAGCTTTATCGGAATATTTCAGTAAAGTGTTTTCTATCAGTAATGAGGAATGACCAACGATTCATTGCGATTGTGGCGGCTAGTCATTGAGAAAGGTACTGTTTTAAGGCTACTTCAGTACCTCAAACCTGATAAGTCCAGTGGTCTTGATGATATTCATCCTAGGATTATGAAAGCCATATCAGATATAATTGCTGAACCATTAGCGATACTGTTTGTCATGTCACTGAGGCAGTCTAGACCGCCCAAAGATTGGAAAGACGCTATAATAAGTCAGGTGTATAATGCTAGGATTAGGGATTTAGTTAGTAACTACAGACCCGTTAGCTTACCTAGTGCAGTTATAAAGCTGATGGAAAAACCATGCGAATATCTCGTATAAACTATGTTGAAGGGCATAATCTTTTCTCCAGGGAACAGCATGGTTTTCGGAGAGGCCTATCATGCTTGACAAATCTTCTCATTGCAAGAGAAGATTGGGCTGCTGCAAAAGATCAGAGTATTTCTGTGGATGTGATCTCCACAGATCTAATTAGGGCCTTCGATAAGGTCTCCCACTCTGGTCTTAAATTCAAACTGGAACGTTTTGGAATCCATTATACAGTCGTAGATTGGATAAAAAACTTTTTCCATGACAGCAGACAAAGAGTAGGGGTTGATGGGGCTCTCTTCTCGTGGGTGCCTGCAAAAAGTGGAGTACCTCAAGGTACAATCTTCGGTCTACTTCTATTTTTACTTTATGTAAATTAATTACCAACTATAAGAAAATCATCCGTTCTACTCTTCGCTGATGACATAAAGATTTGGAGACCCATACACAGTATGTCGGATAGGATAGTATTACAGAATGATCTTAGCTCAATGGTGGCATGGTTGGACAGGTGATCACTAGAAGTAAATCCTGATAGGAGTGTAGTGATACAAATAAATAACTATGATGAATCGTATCACTATACAATATGTGGATTCGTGCTACACAAAGTAAGAAACTATAGAGATTTAGGAGTCATATTAAGCAGTGATCTCAAAACCACTTGTCACTGTAAGGCTGCTGCTGAGAAAGGCTATAGGGTATTATGGTCTGTTCGTAGGTCTTTCCAGTATTGGGATGATGAAATGTTTAGATTATTATACCCGATTTATTTGCGACCATGTTTAGAATATGGGATTCAAGCAACGAGTCCTTCTTTCAAGTATGAAGCAGAGATGCTGGACAGAGTCCAACGACGATGTACTAAGGTGGTACAAGGTCTATCCGGACCATCTTATGAAGACAGACTGAGACACCTTACTGTAGAGTACGGGGTGATCTAATATTAGCTTATCGTATCCTGAACGATGACCTTGGTATTAACATGTCTTATCTTTTATTTCCGTCTATGACTGATCATTTGAGAGGACATTCGAAGAAAGTTCAAAAACGGAGATCAGATCGTTTACGTCTGGAGTTTCGTTTCTCGCACCAAGTAGTGTATTACTGGAATTCTCTACCGGAACACGTAATATCAGCACCTTCTGTTAATATATTCAAAATGAGATTGGACCTCCAAAGTATTACAAACTGCAAGGACTAATAAAGGTCGATAGACTTCCTATCCTTATTATTAATGAGGACTGAAGACTTCTAATTACGCGCTCATCCTGGAAGTGGTCGACACAAAATTGACCTTGAGTTATTTGTAAATGGCATATGTAAGTTAGCTTATGAGATTTCATAACATTGGAGATGAACTGTTATCATACTGAATGACTTTCCAAAAAGGATGTTACGACATTGGGCAGTGAATATATGCTCATTGTGTTCCCTAATCCCACTATTCAATGTACTGATGATCGTATGTTCAGAGATTTTCGGAACTAAAAATGCAACAGAAGCAACAAACAAAAGCAATACGATAGTATGTGTCCGGATGTATTTTTAAGAATTTCCAGTCTTCCACTTCACCACGGTCGCACGAGATTTTCTCACTTAATATAATTTGAAATTTGATTTAAGTCTGATAGCTCTTGTCAGTAACCTCAGTGATAACTTTGATCATAGCAAAACAACCATCATGAACTCTTAATATTTTTCGACTGGTCAACCAACATATTGAAGTTTTTTGTCCTACACAGACTCTGGTTTACTATTGAATATTCGTGTATATAGTTCACAGATTATAGGACACTAGTTTCACGTAGGAATCAGTGAATATCACTGCTAAAAGCTAAAATATTTGATTTCGAAAGGTTTGCCACACTGCATTGCCTTCAAGCTTTGCATCCGTAAAATCCTTTGGTTTTCGTGAGTACAGTGTAAAATTAATGTTTGTCAACCAGATTTTTATTACATGATATACCTATCGTTTTAGAGATTAGCAATGCAAAAATCTAGTTCTTGCCTACCACTCTTAATTTCAGTTCGTGAACGAAGTCATCATCATCCTTGCTAATTGCACCCCAAGTCGTTTCCATATATAAGACGTAAAGAATTGATACATCAATTTTTTTTTAATGCTCAATGCCTGATCGTTTGGATGGTTGAGAAACACAAGGTATTAGTCCTGAGTGATCTTAGAGAAGCAATTAGCGTTACGGTAGGAGACGTAAATATTTTCGAATTACCACTCAATGCTCTGAGAAACTTTCCACTTTGGATCGTTTCTACTACACAAAACTACTTCATCCGAATACTTTAAGTACATGTGTAGTTCTTGTGGTGAGAATTTGAACTGTAAAATATTAGACTAAGGAAATGTTATTCCTAGAGATCAATCTACAATAAAAATAATTAAAAATATCAATGGATAGCCGTATAATTGCTTAGGGTAGCTAATCTAGGTGAGGACAGAAACTCTTCGTTCTAATGTGTTAGACTCAGTGTAAAATTTCGACTCTAATTTTTAATCATATTCCTTTTAGTCAAATTTCATTTTTCTAAATTAACATTCATTGTCAGTCTCGGCGGCTACTCTTGTTCGATCGAAAAGAAGTAGACTTACTGGGCGGCGAAAATCTGTTTTCTAAGCTGCAAGTAAGCTTTTTTGTGTTTTTTTTTAATATTCAAGTAATTAAAAACAGTCCAATTGAATTTTCCTTGTTAAATTCACTTGGCTTCTTTTTCAATGACTGAATCGGTTTCTTTCGTTACTCAAGTTTAGAAGGTATAAAATTGGTTTGCATTCTAACATTTGTATCTCAATAGCTCATCGAGTTATGGTAGTGGGTTGAATCATATTCATCATAGATCCAGTCAAACCGACAAGTAACTTGTGCATTGTTATTGGACTGCATGTTTTTCGTTTCCCCTAAAATTTAAGGACCCTACTTAACAATCAACAATTGGAAGATTTCAGGCCACAACGAAAGTAACTCATTGCGTTATTGTGGAATAAACATTGAAAGTTTAGCAATGAAGATCTTTTTGGCGATATCGTTTGCTAATGTTATACACGTGTTGTGGTTTATTAGAAAACTGATTTGTGCTACTTCATAAAGTGTTTGGAAATCTCAATTATGAAATAGATTTTACTGTTTCTAATCATTGTCATTACGAAACTTCCATCTACTAATTGGAAGTTTCGAACACTTATGCTCTTCCATTTTGTTCACCAACAACCTACTCTTTATCTTATATGAATACAACTAAACACTCGAGAAACGTCTGTCATATACAACGTAGAACCCGGTTTTTGTCTATATCGGTTCAAATTGCAGCACTCCATCAGCACTGAGATGAAATTGTGATGGCGAATCCTAGAGTAGTAGATGTGGCAACAGCATTAGTGGTAATAGAAAAGAATAGGAATGCAATATATAATCTACTAGAAAAATATAAATTGATGGTTTAAAAATAAGTAGGACTATAAGGGATATGGAAGCTTAGGATCTAAAAGAAAACAAGTAGTAAATGCACCTGCACCATTGCAAACGATTTTAAGTCATGTCAACAATCATAGTTATTTTATAAATAAAATGATGTTAATTCTAAATTTCCTCTCTGGTAAACGATTAGTGAATACTTATGTTATCATGTGCATACACATTTTTAAGTGTTTAATTGGGTGAAGTAAAATGTTGAACATTGTGGAACGACACTTCTTGATGAACTTGGAAAAGAAACTGACTTAGTAGTGGTCATAGTGACTTGGGAGCGTAACCTTATGGCGAGGGTTACAACTGCCTAAGGCCAGTTACACGACCTTTCTGTGAAAAGTTTGTAATGTGCGAGTTTCGTGCTTCACGAGGCCTTAAAGACGAAGTCAGGAATCCGCGAGGTAAGGTGAGGTGTAATAGTTTAAGAGTCTACCTTTCCTGACCCCCGCTGCATTTGTGAAAAGGCAGTATCGTTGCAGCTGACAGGTGTTTGGGCAAAACATCTTGCTGATGTCTCATTCTACAGCTGGCAGAAAGACTTCGCCCTTGAACAGTAAGTCGCTGCTTTCAGTCCTACCGTTCCCCAACCAACTTACCTGGCATGGTAGGACCTAAAGGACTGACTATGCTAGCTAATGTCTCGATCGTGTCATCGCGGTAGACAATATGAACCACCACTTCAAGGTAGCACCTACGGTCGAAAAGCACAATTTTTTTCATGAAATACCTTTATCTTGGAATATCTTTCCGTACTGTCCAAAATACAAAACAAATACCTTGTGAATATGGGGTTGTTCAGATTGTTGAATTGAGTTGAAATTATGGACCTAATTAAGCTGGAACACCTGAGATCACTTGATGGCCGTTTCATCCTAGTATAAAATGCTGCAGTATCTACAGTCCCTCACATAGTAATCGAACCCAGAACTTTTTGTCTTCCAATTTGATTCAAATAGCTAATAAGTATTTAATAATATTAAAATTAAAATTGACAGCCATGAAGTCACGGACTTTTATTATCTCATCTTCTACTTTAGTTGAAATATCCAGATGTTGGTTTGTCACACATACAAAATTAAGAAGTTTTGTATGCTAAACAATCAAGTTTTTTTCCTGTGACGTCGTTTTATCACTTAGATTTTTGACATCTATTTAAGGTCTCTAAATTCACTGAGTTAGATTTTAAAGGCCTTTTAAATATTAAATTAGCATTTTCATTGTCCTATTTTTTGGGCACTATGGGTTGTACCACATAGTATTCAGTTATAGTTAACGTTTGTTTGACTGCTTGGTTAATTCATAGGGAAATGGCAGCTTTACGTCGTAGGAACAGCTGTAAATTAACTTTTAAATAAGGACTATCAAAAGGCACTGGTTGTGTTGCACTTTATCAGGAGAAAAGCTACACGTTTTTGTATAGCATAATATTTACCCCTTTCCGTAAGGCATAGAGCTATTTGAAGGGCTATTGGAAAGCATTGTCAGTCAGTTTATCTCATAATTTCGTATAATACATGTTTTGCGAATAATGGATTATTTTTCAATACCTTGATAGACCGTTAGCACCAACTGCACAGCATATGGTCGTGGTCACATATGGTTTGGGGATTCTTATGGCTTTGTACATCGTGTAGATCGGGGTTTACACATAACTTCATTTCAAGCTCACGACAGCTGTGTTCACCTAATGCATCAAATGAAGGAGCATGATTTACTCATAACTATTGGTGTAAGTTCTCATGAAAAACTAGTTTTACATACTACTTTTCCACTGCTCCTATGACAGTCTACCCTTTTAATTCTCACTGTTAAGATTTATTTCGCTATCTCAGTGATTTGTGGATTTACCTTTGTCTTCAAAACTGCGATATGTTTTATTAAGTACCAGAAGGCAATCATCAATGACGTGGTGTTTTTAACCAAATATTTTACCGGGTTAAGCAAACTTCAACCATTATTTCACTTTTTATCTTATACTTTTGAATCAGTTAGTTAGTTAAGTCCTGTGAATGTAGTCCATATAACCACCTATGCTCAATGTTCATTCTTTTATCTACATGTCTTAAAGTTTTTCGAATCTCTTACGTAATTATATGTAAGTTTCTTCCCGATTCTAAAAGTAGACTGTTGTGACTTTATGAGCCGCTTGTTATCACGTAATCTATTCGCCAATCAAAATACGACTTATTCGCTCTTATACTGTACTAAGCCAATGACGTTCGACCGGTCTGATCAGCCTAGCGTCTTATTGGTCAGTTGCTCGCCTAGCCCTTCCAGCTGAGTCCAGAATGTCAGTAACAGCCTCCAGTATGCGAATCATTTATTTCAGACATAATGGGTTTATATACCAAACAAACAGACCGCAACGCTGCATAAAATAAGAAATAATATTCATACGCAATAAAGCCAAAAAGTAGCTGTGAACGTGGGAGGCAGTAGTCAATAAACTGAACATACAATAATATTCTCTAGATCAAGATAAAGCTTATAACAAGGGGAATGTAGATATACATAATCTAGTTACTGAATATTTATACCATAAGAATATATAAATAATATTAGTCCATTAATACGTCTCAGACGTTACTCGTAATGTAATTATTATTATTATTATTATTATTATTATTATTATTATTATTATTATTATTATTATTATTATTATTATCAGCTTTATTCAATATTATATTTTTGGTACAATATAGAATTCTCAGCGTAAAGTATTTCGACAGGTTCCCGTTTCTTTCTTCTTGGTCGGTCCTGGCGATAAATATCGAGTAATCGCCAGCTAGATGTTAGTAGTTCAGTAAATGAACATCTGAATAATGTGCATTCTTTTCGTTGTATATTGCCAGCAACTACATTGTCTATTATTGAGTTTTTTGTAACTTTGAAAACGAAAGGTTGTACACTTTTCAGAAACGCAGCAGAATAGGTTATGCGATTAATAAACATAATGATATATTAAAACAAACAAAAATATATAACTTGTTGAAATATCTAGATGGCAGGAACAGGTAGTCCAGATGCTCAAGCAGGCCGCCCTTTATCTTCACTAGGATATAACATAGACACTAGTTGGAACCTGACCGGTACTTGTATCATCGAATATGGAGAAATAAAACTTGGATCCTGGGCTTTCTGTCAATTATGTGTAGTTAAATACCATGTAAAAATTTTGAAGTTTAATGGAAGAAAAAGGTTATATGTTTTACTGCAAAGTCGGATACCAAATATTCTCAAGACCTTTCTGTCTCCGTTCTTCATTGTCGAACAAAGTAAATTGCTTTTAACAATCTACGATTGGTGTATAATTGCGTCCAGACATTCTGATCTGTTAAATCTTTGATAATTACTAACTATGAAATAAGCTTTCAACGTGTCTATCATCTAAAATATGTGGATACCTTTCTTAACATACTAACGTACTTTTATGGATTTTGTATTTTACATCTATTCAGGAAGACAAAACAAAGGAGATCAATTTAAAAGTATGGAACCTTACAAAAGTAAGTTAATTTATTTACATATTTCTTTGTTGACAGTTTGCGTATAATGTAGTTTTGAAAATATAATCACGATAACATTGGAGTACTTTCTGATTTCGAACAACCTTTGCCACATACCTCAGAATCAAGCCCACAAAATATATATGATAAGACACGTATTATGTCTCTTGTTTTTATTATCCAGTCCTCATGATGAACCAGTGCTTTATTTATAAAGCACGACTTTCAGCTTCTGGCTTCAAGGTGCAAACCTTCCACATACAGCTTAGTTTATCAGCCTCGCACACGAGCATATGCTTCAGAGCCGAGTTCATAAACCAATATTTCATTATCACTCAAATTATTTTATTAGCTCACTCATAATGATATAGTAGACATGTTATTAATCTGTAAACATCATTTTTGTCAGCTGATGAGTATTACCATACGAAAATCTTTTCCTTCGATTTAGGAGCAAACTAGATTTTATTCTTAAAGTTGTGATTTGTTTAATACTTCGAAACTAGTATCGTATTTTTGATAACTCCATTGTTTTTTTGTTTTAATTTAGTGGACAAATAAAATGACACCATTTTGTTGTCGGGTCACATCGGTCACTCCCTCTGGGCTTCCTCTTGCTTACGTAAGTTAAAATGATCGTTTCTACCCAATGATAAACTGTGGTTTTATGTTTATGGAGAGCTAAGAAGATATTCAGCTTACCCAAAATCATTTGTTTTCATTTTACCAAGCTAGTAAATCTTGTTAAAAGTATGGTTTGCTGACCTACTCTGTACATAGACTCATTTTTGTGTATTATTTATGCAGAATAAGCGAAAACTCCATTTATACTGTTATTATTAGTGACATTTATAAGAAACGTTTTCACACCTATGATGAGTGTAATTTTGAATTATTAAGAAAGTATTATATACATCAATATCGTGAACTGCACGTAACATGGGAAGTCAACTTTTTTTGTGATTTGACTACATTAACTACAAGCGTCAATGTATTATCCTGTGTAGGTGGGTTGTAGAAAAAATTTTTTCAAGAGGTATCAAGCTTGATTTGTTGTTTCTAAACTAAAGCCATATATGACATATGATTTATATCTTCAGGTTACGCTTTTCCTTACTTTCTATACATTTTAAATGTTGTCATTAACAATACGGGACTAAAAATTTCCGCCATTTAATCAAAACAAACATTCATTCACCATGCGATCAATTCTGGATTTATGTATGAATTGATAAATGGCATGATAAATGATCATTTAGTGATATGTATTTCTTACTTAGATATACTTAATTCACCTAACAAGTGAACATCTCGGAAACGTTTAGTTATTCTGGTTCGTCAATTTTCAGACACCAGACGATGATAAAGAGCAACTGGTTACAAAGTGTCATTACTGTATCATTAAAGTCGTTGTTCTGACATACTGTTAATGAAATGTGGTTGACTATTGCTTATAATCATCAGTGAATTAGAAAGATCCTTTCAAACAGTAATCATCGAATAATGTTAAGCCTCCCACAACTCACACTTTACTAGCTAGATTGTTATCGTTATTCTATATTCGTCAATAAACGCTTAGTAAATAAGCATTTCACTAGTTTGTTGGGAATGATAAATCGCCAAAGGTAATGTATTGTGGAAAAAACCAGTCTTAAAATTTACATATTAAACTCAATTTTGTTCATTGATTTTCAATGTATTTTGGTTGTTTTATTCACTACAATTTTGTGCTTAAGTGGCATTTACTCGGTCGATACTTTTTGTAATAAATAATTATTGAATTTAGTCAATATACAATTAAATTAATTCTTCCAAAAATATTTTAAATAAGTTTTGTCTCATGGAGTAGCTGGGGCTCAGAGAGAAGAGACCTACTGTGTCCGGCATCAGATTTTTCATAGGACTGCAGACATACTTTGGTACTATAAAGTTTGATATTCTACTACTTTTCTATCTTTATGTTTTAACATCACACTTATATTGTATCCTTATTTCTACAATCAAAAGGTTACTTGTTTGGCTATAGACGAAGGTCTTCATTATATGGTTTTGGGTCATGTGAATGGTATAGTTCAGTTATTCAAAGGAGACATCACTCGTGAAAGGTAAGTTATTGTATAGTTAACTTATGATGATATTGTTTGTTTTAAGACAGATATACCGCCTTAAAAATTAATCTCGGAAACAATTTTCATTTTTTCAGTCTTTCAAAGATAGTTTACTGTGAAACCACTGTGTAGACATTTGTGAGTTGATAACTTGAGTGTTTCCAGTCGAAGCCGGTAAAGACAGTCAAAACTTATAAATATATTAACAGATTTCTAATAACATTAACAATATAAAACAACATAACTTATCGATAATTTGTTCAACCTTTTGACATTCATCATATTCTATTCACCAATATTTTATTTGTTTCTTTTAGGCAGTGTAAACGTTCTATTCTCTATGAATTTCTATGTCCTGTCACTGGGTTAGGTTTATACGTCCCAAATCATCATTATCATCAACAAAATAAACAACAAAATTGCGCGAATAGTGATCTTTCAAATATTAATCAATGTTTAGATCCTATTGTTTTCGCAGCTTCAGAGCAAAGTTTAATGAGTTTCGTACTTGGTCAAAGAGAGAAAATTAAGTATAAGGTAGGCTTATGGATATTGGTTTTGTACAGGTCGGTTGTAAATTTGTTTTTTTCTTCCACTTAATTGGTTTGGTTTATTAAACAGTTGTATACAACGTAGCTCGTATTATGGATGTTTATTAGTGCAAGTTGTGACACCTCATAGTAAGAAAGTTAGAAAGAAACGTTATAAGATTGGTAGGGAACATAATTACATCGGCTTAAGTGTTAACTAAACATCATAAATTCACTAAAGTTGGATAGTGGTTAGCACTGTGATCCACTACACACGTTTCAACCTATTTGAGACTCGCCAGGTATACATAGCTAGCCTCTGACAAACTTCACTAAAATACATGTCAATATTTGGCAATATTGAATCAATCCACTCAGGATACACGCGTGCCGAATACCCTTCCACGGTGTCAGTCAGTCAGTCAGTAACAATGTAGAACTTCGTACGTACGTACATCAGTTCGAGTTGCCACACCACCTTAGCACAGAGATGCAGTTGTCGATTCAAATCCCGTAGTGGTAGAGGTAGCAAGAGTATAAGCAGTAATCGGGAAGATTAGGGTTTGGAGATGTTATTTAAAGAGTATAATCCAGTGAAATAAATTTGGAAAGAGGAAAAAAGGCACATGAAGAATTCAGAAGATTAGAATTTGGGAGAACACAAAGAGTGGATGCACCTGCGCCATTGCAAACGATTTTGAGCCATGTCATTCAGGGTCTCTAACCATCGGTTGCTATCATCTCGTCGTCCCCAACCAGGTAGTCTACACCTACCAACATGACTCAGTCCACTTGTCAGTGACTTCATGGACTTGTGCCGTGTTTTGGTCTGGCCGCCTCTAGCTTTCCTCCAACCTACTCCTATACCACTGAACATAGCACGTCGAGGTAGTCGGTCGTTGGGCATACGTAACACGTGTCCCAGCCATCTCAACTGATGAAGTCTCACTACTTCATCAATTGATTTGCCATCCTTACCTAGTACCCGCTTCCTAACAACTGTGTTACTTACTCGATGGTCCCATGATATACGAGCAATGTTTCGAAGACACCTATGATCGAATACTAGTAACCTACGAATATCCTCTACTCTTACCGGCCATGTTTCACTGCCATAAAGTAGGACGGAACGAACTGCTGTGCAGTAAACACGTCCTTTGGTTGATAGACGGATATCTCGCCTACGCCATAAATGACGCAAGTTGGCAAAAGCTAGTCGAGCCTTCTGTATCCGTGCTGAGATTTCGTCACACACCAGACCACAAGGGCTGATGAGACTTCCAAGATAAGTGAAGCGGTCGACACACTCAACTACTTCACTCCCTATCACTAGTTCGGGTGTCGATGTAACCCAATCCTGAAGCAACATTTTGCATTTGGAGGGAGAGAATCGCATCCCGAACATGCTTGCATTGTTGCTTAGAGTGGTCAGAAGACTCTGTATTTTGTCAGCGTCTTCACCAAATAAAACTATGTCATCAGCATATTCTAAGTCAACAAGTGAACCTCCCGGTAGAAGTTCAACCCCTGGAAATTTAGATGAGGAGAGTGTTATCTCTAAAAGTACGTCGACCACAAAGTTGAACAAGAATGGGGAGAGTGGACAGCCCTGACGAACACCACTTGAGGTAATCAATTCTGATGACAGTTCGCCATAAGCTCTCACTCTACCAGTTGTGTTCGAGTAGAGAGCCTTTACAAGGTTAATGTACTTCTTTGGTACTCCTTTCAGTGACAAACACTGCCATTGAACCTCACGATCAACAGAGTCGAATGCCACCTTAAGGTCGAGAAATACTACCATTGTGGGGCGTCTGAATGTGTGTCTGTGTTCTAGAACCTGACGTAGTGTGAATATCTGATCTATACAACCACGTCCAGGTCGAAAACCGGCCTGGTTTTCTCTAATCTGCTCTTCACGAGCTTTGATTGGGCGTCGAAGTATTATTGAGGCTAATATTTTAGACACTATATTAGTCACACTGATTCCTCTGTGATTGTCACAAGAGGACTTTTGTCCTTTCTTATAGACTGGCACAATCAGTGATTGAGACTAGTCAGATGGGATTACGTCCAGTTCCCAAGTTCTACCTAAGACCTCGGTTAATCTCATTGCTAATACTGAACCACCATCCTTAAAAACCTCAGGAGTAAACCTGTCAGGGCCTGCTGCTCTCCCTCGTTTCATATTTCCTATGGCTTTTTCAACTTCGTAAAGGGACGAAGGACCTACATTAACTTGTCATTCAGGTTGACTAGAGATCGTGGGAAACCGAAGTGTGGCTGAAGGCCAGTTGAACTGATCCCTAAAGTGTTCTGCCCATCGATCCAATCTCCTGGATTGAGAATGAATAATATGTCCATCTTTCTCTGAGATTGTTTCGCTAACGGTCAGGTTCCTAATTCCGGTTTCCTTAACGAGTCTGAACAATTGTCTGCTATTACCTATTGCCGCTGCCTTTTCCATCTCTCTTGATTTCGCTACCCACCACTGTTCGCGATCATTGCGTAGACTTCGTGTCAGCTTGCGCTTAAGCTGACTCCGCTTTTCATTATGTTCAGAGCCAGGTGGAATGAGTTTCCGAGCATCTATCAGTGAGATAGATGCTGCTGAGATCCAATGTTGCTCCCTAACCTTCTGGTTTACCTTAATAGCAGATATCACTGCTGTTTCCACAGCTTTTCGGATATCATTCCATACTGCATCGGGGTGGGCATCACATACATGGCTGCCCAACTGTTTTCCTAGTTGTTCCTGAAATATACTCTTAGCTTGACTATAATTAAGTAGGCTCCTAAGAGGTTTCCTTGCAGCGTCTTTCCTACGTCCAGTAAGACGCAAGCAAATACGCGCTCGCACTAGAGCATGATCTGAATCTAAGCATGTGCTCCAGAATGAGCGACAGTCTTCTATCGAGCCCCTCCATCGGTGGCTGATAGCGGTGTGATTTATTTGGGTCCAACGTTGGGACGAAGTAGGGGGTCGCCATGTTAAAAGATGTTTATCCTTATGCTTAAAGTTAGTATTTGCAAGAAAGAGGCGGTTATCTGAGCATAGCTGCAACAGACGGTCGCCATTATCTCTTCTTTGAGCCACGATGCTATAAGATCCACCTAGGTGTCTTTCCCCATCGCTTAGTTTACCTACTTGAGCATTAAAGTCACTGGCCACTATTACTACATCAGAGCGCCTAGCTTTTCGGAGAAGGTCGGAAAGTTTTCTGTAAAACTCATCTTTTACATCATCTGAGCTGCAGTCAGTGGGAGAATAGGCAGAGACGACGAAGAGGCAACGACGGGTGTCCCTATGTTTCCGGATTCTTACTGTTCCGTTCAGTCGGACAGCGCACAAACGGCTGTCTACTGGGATCCACTCTAAGAGAGCTAGTTCTGCCCTAGGACTCAATGCTATAGCTACGCCGGCGAGGCCACGGGAAGCAGAATCAGGGCTTCCAGATACACGAAGCGTAAATCGAGTCGGTTCTTTATTTTGGCATGGTGAGGTCAAATGAATGACGCTACTCGGATCCTGTATGCGCGTTTCGGAGACGCAGCACACATCGATGGTGCGAGATTCTGAAGTCCTAGCTAAGGAAGCCTGCTGTCCTATTTGGCACAGTGTTCGGACGTTATAAGCTCCTACGTGTAGTTTAGAGCGTGGTTTCAGGACACCAATAATAGCGTTCCGCGTACTCGAATCGTTTGCCCTAGCAGTGCGAGATGATAAAGAGACGTGAGGAGGGTTAGTCATGGAGATAAGAGAGGTATTAGGAGGTGTAGGAAGGATTTGAATGTGACCAACTTGGTCTCGTGTGCTGTTACGGGTATGACGGCTGATGTCACTTCACACACCTCAAGAAATACCCTTCCACGGTGTGAGCAGCCGGGAAGTGATATCAGCCCTAACCAGAAGGTAAGGGAGCAACACTGGATCTCAGCAGCATCTATCGCACTGATAGATGCTCGGAAACTCATTCCACCTGGCTCTGAACATAATGAAAAGCGGAGTCAGCTTAAGCGCAAGCTGACACGAAGTCTACGCAATGATCGCGAACAGTGGTGGGTAGCGAAATCAAGAGAGATGGAAAAGGCAGCGGCAATAGGTAATAGCAGACAATTGTTCAGACTCGTTAAGGAAACCGGAATTAGGAACCTGACCGTTAGCGAAACAATCTCAGAGAAAGATGGACATATTATTCATTCTCAATCCAGGAGATTGGATCGATGGGCAGAACACTTTAGGGATCAGTTCAACTGGCCTTCAGCCACACTTCGGTTTCCCACGATCTCTAGTCAACCTGAATGACAAGTTAATGTAGGTCCTTCGTCCCTTTACGAAGTTGAAAAAGCCATAGGAAATATGAAACGAGGGAGAGCAGCAGGCCCTGACAGGTTTACTCCTGAGGTTTTTAAGGATGGTGGTTCAGTATTAGCAATGAGATTAACCGAGGTCTTAGGTAGAACTTGGGAACTGGACGTAATCCCATCTGACTAGTCTCAATCACTGATTGTGCCAGTCTATAAGAAAGGACAAAAGTCCTCTTGTGACAATCACAGAGGAATCAGTGTGACTAATATAGTGTCTAAAATATTAGCCTCAATAATACTTCGACGCCCGCCCCCTGAATGCCCTGGTACGGCCGAGAGTGGGGAGAGTCCGCTCTCCCTCCCGAAATACTCTCACACGGCCACGCGTATATAGCCTCTGCCAGGGAAGTCCTACTCATTGCCTTCTCGTGGCGGGGGTGTTGTTTACGAAAATGAGAGGACGAGAAGCGAATGTCCGGCGCTTTAACCGGATTCCAAACCAATGGTGCACATGGGCTCCAGTATCCTGCGGGAACGAATGGCGTATGAACTAATCGTTGGTCACCGGCTACCATGGGACTGCATCTCCTTACGATGCTCCACTGCCTTGTGGGTTAGACCTTTAGGTCAAAGGCTCGGGGAGTGGCCCCCTAAGATAACCACCTGCTTCGGTTTGGGCACCCGGGCAGTATCACAGCC